TTTCGACTACTGTAGAGTCAGAATTTGCAATAAAGCCCCCATGATCCAAAAGAATAGAATTATACCAAGCGGCTAATTTTACAAAAGAAAACAATAAAATAGGTAGGAAACCTACCACTCTTGGTCGGCGTCATTTAACGATTTCGCGATTGGCATGAGGGTTTCACGATTTATACGCGGATATTGCGATTGGCAGAAGGTGTACACGGAAACCTGCAGAGATTCCATACGCACTAAACGTGCTGCACGTACAGACTCAGAAAACGTCACCAACCTTCACATTCGCGTACTTTTTCAGTACTTTCTTAGTGTCTTCTTCGGTGTTGAACGAGTTCATCAGCACTAATGGCACATCAACGCCGAATGTTTTGTTCAGCGTCTAAAACGGCGCTAGTTTTTGTGAGTCTCGATGGAACTCCTCATGAAGGCATTTGTGGCACTCCTCGCAGGGGCGGAGCCGAGCTTCCACTGCGAATTTCTCATTGGTGCTCCACTGCTCTTGATCAGCCCCGAGAAAAAGAGGTGCATCAATGACAATTCGTGAGCCGGACTCCGCCTACACGATAAACATAAAATGTGTCTCCAAACGATTTCGTACCTGGATCTGTTGCAGCGTTAAATCGAGGAATGTCAACTCATTCCTCACGGGGATCACCGATTTCGGTCCCTTACAACCCATCGATGTACCAAGACCTCCGTTAAGCTTCACCACTACCAATTTGTTCAGCATTGACGCAATCAACTCATCATTATTTGGATGTTCCAGCTGAAAAATAGAGTGAAATGTTCGAGTGAAAAACTCGATTGGCAGAGGCAGGGCTACTTACGTGCTTGTATGTCCTAATAGTTCCGTCTGGTAGTGGTTCGATCTTCGACCAATCGACATGAGTTTTGGCCCGGAGAAATCGAGCAAACAAGTTTCGAAATCCTGAGAGCTCTTTCTGGTTTTTCTGAAAAAAAGTATCAACTTAGCCACTATTGGCCACTATTTTGCTAGTTTAGTCTGAGCAGGTTCAACACTACCGCATATTGGGAAGGGGGGGGGTCAGAAAAGATCCGTAAAAAACATATATCTTTCGCAGTCGAAGCAGGGCTTATCATTTTTCTCCAACAAATGATATTGTGTGATGGCGAGTTGGGATTTTCATTTTTCCCCGTTTCACGTTCCTTACATATACTCCTTCCGACAGACCGATTTTTGACCATTTGAGATAGTGAGATGTCGCAATTTCACACATCCGATAGATGCTTAAAGGCACTTTCCACGATAAACTAAGGCTATGAGCTCTACAATGTGCCGGAAAGTACCGGTGAGGCGGTGACAGAGACTAAACCTCCCGGTGGAAACCTTGGCCAATTAGGCGCCTGGGCGCCTTAATCCCATGACCAACCCCGTATGGCATTTCGGACGGTTTTTTTTTCTATAAGTAGGGCATTTCGGGCGGTTTTTTCTACTTTTCCCTCCACTATTTAATTCCTCAGTGTTTTGTAGTCTATAGCTGAGCTCCATTACCCACCAATTTTGATTGCTCGCTTTGCCTTTAAACGATGGGATGACAGTTCCTGTAGTTCGAAGAGAAGTTTAGTGGGAGCAGTGGTGTCACATGAAATTTTACCTAGAGCCGTTACTACCCTCGCATTTGAGCCTCATTTCCTAGCCTTTTCCTGAATATATGACCCTGAAGGAACTAGGGAAAGAAAATCATTATTGAAAAAAGTTCCATTCACGAACGATCATACCGAAGTCTCGAACTGGGTCTGCAATTACGAGGCCGCTGCTCACCGCCATTTCTCTCACTATGATGGTACAGGCAAAGAATCACACTCGTCGTGTAGTGTGAGTGAGAACTGGAGAGAAGTGAAAGAAAAACACGTAGGCATTGCCTGCATGTGAGAGGGCACAGACACGCGGCGCAGTTTAGCTTGAGAGGGGGGGCACTTGGCACTTTCGTTACTTCCCATCGTGTACATTGCATTACAAGAGTTGGTAGGAATTCCCTTACATTATTTGACAAGAGTCGTACTGTCAACTGGTATCACTACACGGCTTCAGAGATTTCAAGAA